CGTCCCCTCCCCCGTCCCAGCGAGACGCGGGGCTCCGGTGTGGTCGCGAACTGCGTGCCGCTGCCATCGTCGCCGTCCCTGCTGCTGGAGCTGCCGTCGTCGTCACTACCTGACATGGCCCGCAGCTGTGGGAGTCGCAAGGTGAAATAAAATGCCACGGGGCTTTAGCGCACGTCAAACCGCAATTCAAAGTTTATAGCAAACGAGGTATGTGAACAAGTGGGTAATAAGAACTAGAGAGCAATTTAGTGCGTGAAAGGTTTAATTAAATTTAGAAACTTAAAATATTAACATGTGATTATTGGATGTTATTTATTTGAGTGTGTAATTTTCTCTGCTTATCCAGTTTTATTTCATATTATTTTCTGGAAATGAAACGATAATATTGGGAATATAACGCGAATTAACTAAACATCCATAATACCAAGATTGGTAATGAAACAGCACACTGAAATACGCAATATATCTCCTAGTGTTCGGCATAGTAGTTAATTCGAATTTAAGGCATTATTATAGAGAAAATGAGGTCAATGAAACAAATTCAGGTTAAAGATAAATTTTGAATGAAGAGATACTCTTGAATGAAGCTCTTTAACTGCTTATATGTCTTTGGGAGTGGTAACTTGAGTGAATGTCATGTTACTTTTAGAGGCATTGGAACTTTTACAAGACTTGAAAAGAATAGTTTTGAGGGGATCTTATCTTCATTCCGACGCGAGAGGACTATAAAGCAGCCCACATTTATTCTGAATATCTAGATCAGAGTTTGGGATTCATTCAAAAAACAGAATAGGGCAACGCCACATTTCCCTTTGCTGCTCTTATCAGCGGTCTTGCAATTACCTTCGAAGCTCGAATTAAAACGCTTTTGAGACGCGCATCGGAGGAGGGTTTCTTGTCTTCGTCAGATACAAGGGGCGATGTTCTTCGTTAGTCATGCTGTAAGGTTTCGCTCTAGATTGGCTATTTTCCTCGCTCGCAGCTAGAGTACGGCGAAGTGGGGAACAGGCCGCCTAAGAATTCGTTTACAACGGCCCTTACTCATAACGTCACTTAAGGGTCGTGGTATATGGGTTGTTATAACGGCGGGTCGTATAACGCGAAGGTGCTATTTCTTAGGTGGAATACGGTGAACTCACCCCTCGCCGGTATAGGAAAGCTGTCACTTAATAAGGGGATGCTGTAACCGGGCTTAGCCCTGTTTAGCGGTCGTTTGATGGCGGACGTGAGATCGAAGTCTCTGCCAGCCTCCATAAAAGGGAGGGATTGCGTGTGGTTCTTTTTTTTCATGCAGGAACAAAGGGCACCTTGCAAACCTACGAGTAGAAATTCCAGATAGCAATAAATCATTATGTAGCTATTTGCTACTTAACTATCTCTAATTCTCCGCTTCGCGCTCAGGAAAGCGCAGCTGACATAGACACGGCAGTACTTACCCTTGAGACCCTACGGAAACGCACTTGTGTAGTACGGGGTTTATGGAATCTTGAATACAACAGATCTCTACCGGGTCTGGAAACAGTTGTGGCAAAGGTCGCACAAGCGCGCTCGTTTTGCGTATAGTAAGCGCTCAACCGTCAACTTTTGATGCACAAACGCATTTCCTTGTCTTCTAGCATTCCTTGCAACTTCTATTGAACGAAACCGAACCACTTCACATAAATCATCTCGCAAACGACTTCTGCGTCCTGGTCTCCGGTTCTACAGTATTGTGTGCGACGTGGGACAAGCCAGTGCGGAGCCTTAATAGAGACGGTGCTTGGGCGCGCATCCTGAGCTTTGCCGCCGGAGAGCGTCATTAAACCCTTCATTGTATTAGACGCAACAATGGGCGATCTGGACTGCGCGCGGCGACTAGAACAAGTGCGTGGCCAGAGACAGTGTGACTGGAAGCGCCGTACCAACAGTTTCCACGCCGTCGGAGCCGCTCTCCTTTTGAGGACGGCGACACGACACGCCGTTCTCCGAGTCCCACGATCGCGGCCGCAATTATCCGTTTGCCAAGACGCCGTGGAGAAGACGGAGCGCAGGGGGTTTTCGTGTGTACTTTTGGACGAATGGCCTGTGCGGCGCGAAGGAAGTCGTTTCGAGCGCGCGATAAATCATTTTCATGACGGGGCTTTGCCTCGCGCAGCGTCCGTAGGTGCCTCTTAGGGCGGGTGGGTGGCGGGGGAGGGGGGGAGGGCGACATGCGACGTGGGGAATAAAATCGAAACGGATCGCGGCCGGAACATGTTTCTGTTCGGCTTCGAGAAGTCACGTCCGCCATTAAAACTCGCATTGTCCAGGAGGTGAGGGAGGTTGAAGGGGACAATCGAATGGTGGCATCGACATTGTGACGCCGCAGCTGCTCGCCGCGGTGCCGGAAGCATTTTTGGCATTGAGGCAAGAACTGGATTCAGGTGTGGTGTTTGCTTTCCGAAGACCGTGACCAAATCGCCTTGTTTGGGTCGATGCTCGATTTCATACGGCATTACTATAATAAATTAATTTATGTTTAAATACATAGATCGTAATTACGTAATGGAGTTTTTCCTTGTGGTGTAATGACAGCTTCATCTAGTAATTCATTTAAGGCAATCTGATGAAACAAAATGGATATATCATTTAGTAGCATTGATTAGAGCAGATTCACTGTCGTCTTTCCTTCTTCTTCTCTCCGTCAAGCTTCTTATATCACAAAACTTTGTTTGGAGAGTAGTTGGAATTAACATACAATTTATTAAAATGTAAGCCCACAGAATAAATTCCCACCTAGTGTGGCATTACGTTGACTGCATCACCATTTTCGCTTTTTCTGTTGGGTGGCACGGGGCTTTCGTACCAAACAATGAAGCGTAACGAACGCACAAAGTGAGGCAAAGAGCTTTCCGTGTATCGGTGATCAAATGGGTGATGGAGCAATTAGCTTACTGTGTTTTTTTAGAATGGACTTTAGAGGTGAATCGGTATAGGATGTCATCTAAGGATTGGTAGCGTGGGATTTGGAGAGGCGATTGGTCACTCGCACGCACCCGGCGATGAGAGAATTGATCTAAGTAAAAACACTACGAAAATGGCGAATTATCACATCGACTATCCCCAGGAGCTTCGCTTCAGTATCGTCATTCGTTATTAACGTAAACGCAATTAAAGCATTAACGTAATCTTAAGATGGCCGTACTGAGCGGCGTACTAATTATCTGATCGGCGTTGCTGCGGTGGTGCCGGTGGCGGGCCGCAGGGTTCGGGGAACGAGCGTCGAGAGAAACCAAATTTCACCGCTGTTGTGAGCCGTCCTTAAGCGAGCGGAGGCCGGCGAGGAGGGATCAGAGCGGGTGGCCGGTGGCCGGAGGGCGAATTCAGCGGTGGCGCATCCCCCGCTACTCTGAGCGAGGGACTGCCGCGCAGCGCCAACCGGAAGGGCTGGCTAGGGGCGGCGGGCGGCGGGGCGGCAGCCCAGCGCCGCTGCCAGAGCTACCTGACGGACTGGGCGCGCGCGACGCATGGCGCTCGCCGCGCCGCCAAAATATTTTATACGGTGTACAGTACTACGGATTTTAATGTATTGAATAATTGTCTGGCGTAAGCTACTTTAAGCGTGTTTTGACGATTTTCCTGGGCGGTCACGTGATAACTTCCGGTTCGCAGATCAGTCGGCGGAACGGCGGCACAGCTCTCGCTGGTCGTGCAGCTCCGTGCCACGTGTACCCGACCGCGCTCAACCGTCCGTGCCCCGCTCCCATCCCCGCTTCTCCACGGTTCGCTCTGAAGCCGGGCCAGAATCTTCGGAGCGCGTTTTCGGCCCAGCTCCGGTTGCGGTCGTTTCGTAACAAATCTGCGTGATTTCTGCATGTTTACGTCACGACCGCAGACGCTCGTTCGGTAGGTGTACGTTCCGGCTATTAATGATAACGAGAATTAAAGGTGAACCAATCGACGTGGAACTAAATCAAGCATACAACGATTTCTTCAAGCCACTCGCCTGTGCCGTCCCCCCGGTGGAGCGGCGCGGCGCGCGAAGAGCGCGGGGGCGGGGAGTGGGAGGGAGGCGTTGCGGCGGGAGAGAACTTCGCGCGCCGGGGATGCTGAGGGCGACGGCGGCCGGAAGGGGAAGTGGGAGCGTGCGGCAGAAGGACGTCCGGCGAGGCGCTGAGGTCGATGAGGAGACGCCGCGAGAGGCAGATGCGAGAGAGGCTGAAGAGGAGCGCTGGGTTCTTCCTGGTGCAGCTGCGGGGTCGAGCCGTCGGCGTGACGGCGGTTGGTACAGTCTTGCGGGGAAACCACGGTTGCGCCGCACTCCCGGCGCCCGGTTGGCTCGCTGCTCCGCAGCCGCCCCGCCGTCGCCGCCGCCTCCACGCCGCGCGCTGCTCGATCAAGATCCCATTCTTAAGCTAATCGCGCGTGCGGCAAGCGGCGTGCACGGCGGCCGGCGGCGGCTGTGGCGGTGGGGCGGCGGCAGTCGGGTGTGGGGGCGGGCAGTGGGGCGGGCGGCGAGAGCAGCCGCGACCGCGTGCCCCGCTCAGCGTGCCGCAGGCGATGGTGGGCGGCGGCGGAGGCGGCGGAGGGTGGGGGTGCAGGGGGCTCGGCGGGGTAGGGTGGGCGGGCGGGCCCTGTCACTGATTACAGCGTTTTAGCCAGTAGGCTGGGCGGCGCACGAAACGCCGCAACATATAACGATTCGGGCTGCGCAACGGTCGCCGCGCTGCCTCTGCCGAGCGCAAGCCGCGGCCGCGACCGACGGCGGCGGTGCCGCGCGGCGCCTCGCGGGGGTCGCGGCCTGCGGGGGAGGGGCGGGTGGGGGAGGGTGGGAGCAGCAGCGCTGGGGGCGGCGGCGGCGGCGCTAGCTTCCTGCCGCGGCAAACACAAGGTAACGCCTGCGGCATTCCATTCACTTTGGCTGTCTTTGAAAGACACAAGTGGCCGGCTTTTTGACGGGCGGTACTGTGTTGCGGGCGATCGCTCTTAACTTCACGAGGAATATCGCTGTGGGAATTGTATTCCATAAGCGGAGTCTTGTAAAGAAATGGATGTAAAAAACTTAATCCTAGTATTAGCACGCTTTATTCGAAAATGTGTGTCTGTTTTTGTGCTGTGGTATAAAATGTTTCTTTAATATTCTTATATTTGCCATATGCGTAAATTATTTAAATTTAGGTC